TACACTCGCACTTGAATTAATAAAAAACAATAAACAGTTAAAATCGTTGGGAAACGGGAACGAACAGAAAGCGATCGAACTCAAAACGAAGAATAGTAGCCAACAGTCGAAGGTTTGAAGTTCTATGAAGTTCTTGGATGTTACTCTGTAGAGCAGAGGGGCTGTTCCCAAACGTACGTGTTCGGAGGAGTGTCACGATACTTTTGTCACTCGCGTATTTTCTTGTCAGGATCAGTGGGAAACGGGCACAAACGCCATCTGATAGTTGGTTTAACATTCTGCTGTCCCATGCAATGAAGGTGCCTTTAAAATAAAAACAAAACTTGAAGTTAATTACACTACATGTACCCATTTTGGAATAATGGATAAATGTCAGGAAAAAGAAGATATATACCTTTACATGCATTGCAATCCATGTACTTCGTAGCAAGGTAGTAGTACTCTTGTGTGTCAAGTTCCAGTCGCACACGATTGTAAAGGCCTTTAGGCCTCAATGAACACTTTTCCTTGCAGTTCGGGCAAATAAAATCGACACCCCACATCTTTCGTGGCATCCACAGAAACAGGCGACGCAGGAAGTACTGATTCGATGATGCCACCTTTGTTTCATGCTTGACTTGCGGTGGATACCACCAATAGACCAGTTTCGAATTCCAAATTACCGCTGTCTTCCTTGATTACAGACTCATTTGCACAGGGTTTGTTAGGGAGGTAAAGTCCTCCACTGCAATGTAAAGCGCATTGAGACAATGTGGTAATGCACTATATAAGAACCCCATTACTGTTATTGTTATTATTATTATTATTACTATTATTATTAATATTAAATAGTAGTAGATATAAATTCCATTGAATGTTTTCTTTTGTTTTACTTTGACTATTTTTCACTAATTATACAACTTTGTTTCATGGGCCGAGTAAAATCACTCTTTCCTATTAAACATGTAGTACCCTACTATGTGTATCATGGTACATATTAAACATGTCGTACCCTACCACAGTATCATGATTATATATACAGTAACATATCACACCTAGAGCGATTTTTTAACCCACAAAACAAAGTTGTATAATTAGTGAATGATACTCTAAGTGCAACAAAAGAAAACAATAGAATTAGTGTCTACTTACCCTGCGGGCAGAGGTTTTTCCCAGCCCACGGAGGGTCAGATAAAAAACCTCTGCTCGCAGGGTAGTGTCTACTACTAAGTAAAATCACTCTGTCATACATATAGTAGAGGGACATAACGAGCTGCAAGGCCCTCGGATTTGTACGCGTTTCCAATATTTGGTGGCTTCTTTGAATTCCTTAGCCGAACTAAACAATAGACGACGGCATTTCTAAGCAAATAACCTTGAGTAGGGTTTGATTGATATGTGTACTAACGGGGTCCAGCGCTGT